ACTACCCCAGCTTTTTAGAAGTTTGCATTTTGAATTTTTGAAACCTTTGAGARCGCTGCTTTGTGTCACTGTTGTTGGTGACTTTGGGCAGCCCCTGGTGGATAAATCTCCAGCCCTGACAGTGCTTTGTGTTGGGAGCTTCCTCTGGCTGCGTAACTGGCTCAGAATTTCTTGGAACTATTTCATACTAAAAGTGAAAGCTGGAGGTGCCCAAGGCTACTTTTCCTTGTGTGATTGTTGAGCTCATGTCTGATACCCTTCTCTGTCTAGGGACTCCTGAGATATGGYTCCCTGCTGTTTTCAAAAACCATAAGATGAGGAAATGTCATGCAGGSTGCTTATTTCCTCCTCTTCTGTGGACTTCCTATGGCTGCTTCCTCAAGTCATTCTGGCTCATTTCAAGATCTTTTGTATTGCTTTGCTGGAAGGTGATATAGGAAGGCTCCAAGGCTTCCTAACAGAATTTTATGATTTGTTCTCTTTGTGCTTCATTTGCTGTATTTAAAAATGGAGGTAGAACCGAATTGTCCTGTGGGTGTCCTTGTATCCATTCTGCTTTCTCAGGATCTCTTTTGCAGGAGAGGTGCAGGTATGGGGGCTCACTGAGGTGCTGTGAAAGTCTGTTTGTTCTCAGCTGGGACCTGAGCTCACTCCTCTCTTTCTTTGGGGTTTTATTCTGTGGAAGGAGTTCCAGACTTAGAATTGACTTCATGAAGATGTTGAACTTCAATAATTTCTGAGTAGGATGAAGGTCAGTGCCTCAGCTTCCTTCTGCAGTAGTAATTTTCATTGTCAGACTTGAGTGCTAATTTTCTCAGGAYATAGACATTTAATAATATTATTTTTTATTGGTTAGGAATCATTGAAACTGAAGGACCATATTTTACTCACAAACTGTTATATTTAGTATCGCTTCTTGCTTATCTGAAGTGGCTATATCTGGTGCTTTTAAACATTTACACATTAAACATCAGAATAAAACCAGACTTCATACACAGTTGGCAGATTAGCTCCTCTTGTAACTCTTGTCAAGCTGCATTTAGATGGAAATTAGATTTTTGTTTAGTTTAATGTACTCCTRAAATATCTTAAATACTCATGCTGTGTTAATATACTGGCATGCATTGCACTTTATTTATTTCTAATTGATAGAACTGATTACTTTTGGGTTGCAGTGTTCCAAAATGTTGTTAGAGCTTATAAACATCACATGATAATTATCCCTGYTTTTCTCAAGTTTTTAGGAAGAAAATCAGTCTTGCTGCTTTTCCAGTCTTTAGGTTGTTTCATAACTTAAAGCTGAGTGGACACAGGGTTGAACTGATGAAACATTTTTATTTCTTTAAAAAGCAATAAGAGATGGAAAAAGCTGGTTTAGCACTTCAGGAAACAATATTGCCAAGCACTTAGCKAGGATGTCTTTGCAGTATTTTACTATTGGCAACCTGTGTTATTCCTCCTTGCAGGTTTTTTTCATATAAATTACTTTATTGCACTATAGTTAATGTCAGCATAAATATCAGATTTTAAATCTATGCATTGAAGTGATTGTAATTCAGGTTATTTTGTTAAATGATCTGGAATTTAGTTTGAATTTAAACTATAAGATTTGATATTCAGGATATTAAAAAAACAGAAACAAAAACCCAGCCAACCTCAAATGCATCTTAAGGGCTCTGTTTTATGGAGCATCAGGATTGTCTTTTGGCTCTCCCCAGAGTTGGAGAGCTGTGAACTGAGACATTCAGAAGTGCTGAGCTTTTCAGGGTGCAGGTGCCATCTCTTGTGAATTCCTGAGGCTGCTGTGAAGTCCTGGTACCTGCAGCGGGCTCATAACCTGCTGGAGAGTCTGGAACTGGGAAGGCTGGATCTCCCTCTGGATCACGGTCCTGTCACAGGTCAGGCTTACAGTCACCACAAACGAGTTGCTCTTCCCAAGTTCTCATTCCCCTGCCACTGCACTGTTGCTGCTGTTTCCTCCTCATGCCAAGGACTCCTTTGCACAGAGGAAATGGAAGCAGGGTGCCTGACATTTGGAAATGAAGTGGGTGTTAGTTTTGGACTCATAATTTCTGAGGGCTCTTTGTTACCTCATGTACAAGATAGTGATCTTTGCTGCTTTTTTTTTCCTTGGGTGAATCTCATGATGTCTTGGATCTGAAATCAGTCAAGCTTGAACTCGTTGGAGGGGATGTTCTCAAATAAGGGAGTTGCCCTTAGTTTTTCCAAGGTTCATGATTCACCAAAGACCTGGTAGTCTAGGACAGCTTACGGTAGTTCCTTACTTCTTAGGGAATTAGCTTTCTGATYRGGAAAATATCATATGGAATTGCATAATTACTTTTCATCATGTACAAAAAATGTCTACTGCTGTTTTAACATTCGGTATGGTATTTTAGGGGTTTTTTTGCTTTCCATATCCACCTGCTTCCTGTGTGTAGAATAGGGTCACTTGTGTAGGTGGCAGCTTGGAGAAGTGTAGCAGGGAACATGGGAGTGCCTTAATGCACACAGACAAGGGGGCCTTTGAGTCCTGTCTCTGGCTGCTTTTGATGCCTTCCCAATAAGTAGATACTTGGCTTGCTTGTAAATTGATATTGGTCTAATGTACATGAGTTGGATTTTTCAGAAGTCTCGAGCTTKTGATATTTCTTGCCTGACATAACTTTTTTGAGGAACTTCATGAATGTGGGGTGGAGAAATACATTTGAATCATTTACAGATCAGGATTGTGCCCTCACGCTTCTCCACTTGAGTGTTATGGAACTTCACCATGCTCCTGCCACTTGTGAACAGTTCTCTTAATCAAATTCTAATAGGCAGTATTTATTAAATGGTTGTAAGGTTATATGGGATTGGGGCAGGAGTCACAAAAGTTGGGCAGTGTTTTTGGTTTGTTTTTTTTTTTTTTTTTCCAACACAAAATATGGTCTAAAATTACCTGAGCAGAGCATTAAGTTGTTACCAAAATCAATTTGTTAATTTTTAGAGTGCTTGGTTAGTGCCTCCTCTTTAGCTCCCTAAGATGCCTTTGCAGGTTGTGCATTGATGCAACTTTTCTGATGGCTCTAGTGCCTCAGGGCAGCAGGGAGAGGCAGCCTCTCCAGAGAAGTCCTGAAGTGGCCTRAGCACTTCAGTGCCTGAACTTAATACATCTGTTGGTGCAGTTTTCATTATGCCTTTGAGACATCTGACTGTTGGTTCTGCCACTGTTTTGGACTGACTCCTGTGTTTCACAAACCTTGAAAAATGACCTTTCATGTGACGTGTTCAGCATAGAAACCACTGAAGTGCTATTTCTGATTTTAGTGAAATCTTCAGGTTCATTCCTGGAATTTTTGGGGGCTTGCAGCTTACCTGTCTTCTGACCTTGCTCTTTCTCCTCTGCCTCCTGCCTTGTGGTGTGAAGTTACCCATCTTAGGGTGACACAACGGGAAGGTGCAGCATTTCCTGCTGATGCTGAGCTGTGTGGAGCTGTGCTGGGCTGGCACTTGCTGTTCAGTGATGGCTCCTTGGCAGGGGGTTCTTGACTATGCTGGGTTCAGGTGTGCCCAGAAATGCAGCTCAGCTGCTTTTAATGCTGCTCCCATGCCGGAGCTCCRAGCTCAGAGCCAGCCTTGGAGCTAGCTCGGAATTCCTCGAGCACTCTTGTGTACGCAGGCCAGAGCATGTGCAGAAATTCAGGGAGGACGGGCAGTTGCCTTTTGCTAATTGGGCTTTATACAAGTCCTGTTTGTGCCAGTCAGGTGTTGCCTGTCTTGGCTAAGAAGTTTTTTACAACTCTAATGGAGGGAGTTGTTAAACTTGGGCCACTTGGGACAGCTGCTTGGTGCAGTGGAATGTGCTTGCTCAGTGGGCACCAAAGGACTGCCTGGTGTTCCTGCTGGCCAGGGTGGATCTTACAGGACAGGGCTGCTCTACATTTCTTAAAAATTGCAGATAGCAGCTGAGAGAGTGATACAGAGGCAAGAAAATGTGCTCACTTAAAGCAACCACTAACGCTCCCAAATTATTTGAATTAATTATATGCACAGTGATCAACTTAGCAGTTTTTCTACTAACACTATAGTCAATCCAGTTTTGGTTTTTTGTTGATTAAGAATTACCTGAAGTTGATCTCTCTTTATTCTYTGCTCTTAAAGACCCCAACAACTAGAAACCTTCCTGGAAATGCCTCAYCCTGATTTTCTGAAACCAGTTCTAAGTTGCAAGCTTGCTTTCAGATTCTCTGGAATATATTCTTCAATATGTTCATATGAAGAGAAAAAATGAGCAGGTAGTGATGTTTTTTAGGATGCAGTAGCAATTTCCTGAACAAGATTGCAAACCACGGGTTTTCATAGGAATTCTTAGTGTGCACAATCAGTGTCCACATTCCAAAATGTGCTCCACATTCCACAGTGTGAATGCCTGTAATGTGTGTCACCTTGCAGTGTCTCCCAGGCAGGAAAATGCTTTGGTTTGCAGTTTATTCCTGAGACTTTGACATACAGATGTTTAGGTGTCCTGGTGAAATACATAAAAGGATGCCTGGGGTAAAGAGGAGAGTGAAAGCCTGCTCTTGTGGAGACTGTTGATAGTTCCATGTTCCTTTTTCGTAGCTTGCTTTTTCCTGCACCCAGTAGAGTATGCCTAAAATTACCAACATTGGACTTCCCAACCAACAGTGGGTTTTTAAATTGTTTTAGAAGTCTAGTGACTATATGGGCGCAAAGAACCAATATATCTAGTTTTGCTCAGTAATAAGACTTTGTGTCTGGTGTGCATAGTTTGGGTTTTTGCTACTTGTAGGAGCTGGGATGTAGTGGAATCCCAGAAATCTGGGGTGTTTCTCTGTGGGCTGAGGAAACTGTGCCCTGAAGCACTGCCCAGTCTGTAGCTGCAGCATGGACATGTGGAAAACTGCTTGATAAGCCTCATGGAATAGTAAATTCTGTAGATAAGCCCTCAGTACCTCAGCATAATTTACCAGGGTTTGTTTTTCTTTCTGGATTTACAGAGATATGAAAAATGCTGTAATTGGAAACAACAAACAAAAAGCCAACTTGATTGTTTTGGGAGCAGTTCCAAGGTATGTCCTTTGCTACTCTCCTTTTCACTGATTCACAACAGGTCTGGAATAATGATCCTTGGATCACAGGCACTTTTTTGTTTTAAATTTGATTGTAGTTGWCTGAATACTTTCTTTAATGTAACCGAGAGAGACTTGAAATATCTGTTTAACTCATATATTACAGAACAGGCTGTTGAGTAATGCTTTTCATTTAGAATTTCATGGAATTCTCTAAAGTAGTCTTGGTGTTTTTATTGAACTTTATCAGCTCAGGAATTAAATCTATTTTTTGACATTGATATTAATGATGGATGAAGTGGTTGTGTCTTAATCCTGTTCTTCAGCCAATTGCCTGGTGAGTTCATAAATGAAAATGTGTAAGGTTATGTTAAAGATTTAATTTAAAATGTTGAAAAACATCTGAGATAATTTACTTGTCTGCTCTACTTGCTTCAGAGGATTAAAAACCATTGATCATACTTATTGTGCCTTGCTGCTTCAGCTGATGCTAACCTTTTCTGGGCCCTGATTGCACTAGTAAAATTTAACAGGTAACTTTAGCTCCTGGACTGCTCACTGCAGCTTTCATTTCACTCCTCTTCTCCTCCAGCTTTCTTTCAGCCTCAGTTTGCAGCAATGGAGAATGAAAACCTTGAGTGCTGCAGTCTTTATGCTGGCATTGTGGCACCCACTTGTATCTTTTTGCTGAAATGGCAGCCAGGTCTTAAACTATCCTGCCTGAGAGCTGCTGCCTTGTCAAAAATGCTTTTAATTTGCAGAGAATATCTTCTCACTGACAGACTTTGTGCCAAGGCCCAGCCTTAGGAATTCTCTAGGGATTAGCAGTGGGTCCACCCCCTTTACAGAACCTGCTGGATTATCTTCYCCTTTGACCAGATACAAACAAGTGTAGAGAAGACTTCACAGGAGATGAAAAGATGAAAGTGTTCATTTGTTGAAGATTATGTGAAATTCAAGGAGTTTATATCTGCAACAGGTCCTAAGGGGTTTTTGCAAGTCCTGCTGAYTCTTGTGGTTCCCATTTTAAAAGCTACAGAAGATCTTCACCTTCCAAATCTAGAMTCTGCCTGTTCTTAGGTTTTGTAGGACTTCTGTTCCCTCAGTTATCCTGCTCTCTGCTGCTGTTTGTTTTGTGCCCAGTGATGAAAGTTCAACAGTGCTTTTATTCTTCTTTGTTGTTAATTCCTTCTGGCTGCCCAAGTAAATGATACAATGTACTACTGCAGATAAATGRCTGGGYCTGGGAMSTCTTAAAAGRTGAACTATCACACTTGTCCTTGCTTCAGGACAAATTCTTCTCAAATGATGGGAAATCTGATGTCAAGACTTTTCAGACTGGAGGGGCAGCTGAAGTACTCTGGGTTATTGTGACAAAAGAGGATTCTCCCTGGCTATAAGCTGACATCATCTACTCCCAGGTTCCTTTCTGAAGGCTTTTCAGTTTCTTCAAGGTGTTGCAGAGTGACTAACTAGATTATGGACTGTTTGGAGAACTCCTTTGGTTGTTCTCTGTCAAGGGGTGGGAATCCATTGGCTCTTTTGATGTGCCTGCTCATTGGTGGAGTTGTTGGAGTACAGGCACCTGTGGAATTCCAGTCTGCAAAGGCAAGCCTCCCCCTCAGTGAGGASAGGAATAGCCAACCTGGCATTCTTTGGTTTAAATCTTTAAGAGCAGTTTTCTTTTCACAGAGCTCAATTGCAGCCCCCCAAGGGAAGTTGATTATCTTCTCTAGTGGGGATTGTTAGAATTCTGTTGCTGCTTCATCCTGTMGTTCTGTTTGTTGTTTACTCATTTCTTGCTTCTCTCTTCTTCCCCAAGTATTACTCCATCAAGCTTTCAGAAAATACCCTTTAGACCCAAGGAATCCCTTCAGACATGTCTCTTAATGGAAAAGAGAACAGTATGTTCAGATATTAGGACAGACTCAYATGGGGTTTGGGAACAAGTCTAGGAAGTATCTTCTGTTTGAAATCGGGCCTAACACTACTGGAATGTATGAAATAGCCTTATTATTTTAAAATATCGCAAAGAAATGCAAAGTCCTTTGAAGATCTCCATACAAAGGAAGCAATTGCTGTGGAAGAATGTGGGTCCCTGTAGTTTCTGGGCCAGTGGCCTCCTGAGTCTGAGCTGGCTGTTCAGTGGTGTCATCTTTGGAAAGGGACATGTATCGATACCTTTGAAAAAATGAAAAATTTTTGGGTCCTTTAAAGTTAAGTTTGATCTGTGGTCACCTCTGGACTGCTTGTTCTGAAGAGGGTGCTAGGAAAAACAATTGATTGATTGATGAAAGCTTGCAGCATTGCCATGTCTGGAATTTAAAACTAGRAGGCATTAAAATGGTACAAATGTGTGCACAGACATGCCCCTCGATGTTCAGACTGGAAATAGCCAGCCTGCATGTGGATTTTGTTTCCTAAGCAGCGATTTTCTGTATCTCTTCCTAGAATCATAGAATTTCCATTCTCATGGAATGCTGGCYTTGGGCCCCTGTCAAAACTGCAGAACTGTTACTTTCTGAAATTTTTGCTTTGTAGAAGCAGTTCCAGAAAACAGAATTTTGAAAGTGTAGAGGGGAAAAGTTATTTTAAGGCCAAGTTCTTTCAGTGGCAGACCAACTTAAAGTTAAGTCAGCTTTGCCAAAAGTGGTTTTCTATTTGTACTGTCCTTCAGCTTTTTCTCCTTCTACCCCACGTCAGTGCTAGCAGAGCCCAAGAAGTTCACAGTAATTGTTGGTGTACTGCTTTACTCAGCAGTTTCGTAAGAATACTGCAGCTTTTGTGTCTTATCACCATATCAGACACCTCTTCAGAGTCCAAGTTCAATATTTAATGCTTTGTGTCAGTTCCTCTTAGAGCATAAATCTCAGGGAAATGATTGAATCCTGAGTTCAAATGTAAATTGTGCTTTTCTAAGTCATCTTGACAGGGCTTCTGAACTAGCTGAGCACTGTTCATCTAGTAGCAGTTAGTCTGTATTGCTGCTGGCTCCCCATCCTCTGAACTGTAAATGGCTCCCCTCGGTAGAATTGGAAAAGAAAACCCTTCAGTGAAATAAACACAAGGAAGTTGCTGATAGATCAGTGTTGCAAGTCTGTGGAGCAGCTTTTGGTACCCAGGGAGATGCAGCATTGCTGGTTTGCCATTCAGGCACCAACAGGTCCTTTCAGTCCTGGGATGGTGTCCTCCCATGGGGGATGGCAGAGTGTGGGGAGGGCAATGTGAAATTCCAGTCACCAGAGCACAGCTCTGTCTTTGTTTGTCGTGGTTACCTGTTGAGGCTCTGATCTGTGCAGTTTTGCCAAAATCTTACCTGAACCAAGTTATTGCTGATCTAATTATTGCTGAGAGTTCAGTATTTAAAGTCTAATCCACTTCATTAAGAGCTTCAGTTATTCCTTTGCTCCAAAATGAATACAGTTTTAAAATCAGATCTTAATCCTAACCACCCAGGGCTTTCAACAACCACTTCCATCACTTACTGAAAATGATTTTCTAACTTCCAGCTGATTGTTCCCCTATCACATAAAGTCAATTATTTGGAGTGGTAAGGTGGTAGTGTACTACTTCCTGTAGGTTTCYCTAGGTAGGTACACCTCAAAGAATTTTGTATAGTTAATTTTAACCTTTCCYTGTCATTTATTAGTGATTCTGTTTAACTGTTGGGTTTTTAAATTTTAAAAATTTCTTTGGAGCATATTTTAAAGGCCATGTAGAACAGCTGAAGGATTCTTTTCCGTTCCATCATTTGAATTTTGAGTTCTGCACAGCAGAGTTTTAGGTTGTCTATGGAAGTGAAAACTAGTAAGAATTTATTAGGGTTTGAAGTTGTTTCTAGGGCTGTGAACACATCAAGGTGAAATTTTATGTTTAGATTTGTTGTGAAACATAATGAAATTCCTTCAGGGGGTGTTCTTTTAGAGTTTGCTAAAAGAATAAAAGATTGCTGCTTTAATAGCTGTGTAACCTGGTAAAAAAGATGAGACTGCAAATGCTTTAGGAGGCTCTGCCCCYAGCAGTGCAGGTAAAGGTGAGGTGAAAAGCCAAGCTGGTGTTACATCTCTCACAGAGCCACCCTCTATACTTCTCGCCATCTCCTACATCCACTTCCTGAGTTGTGTTTGACTGCACAGAGATCTACCTCAGCTCAGTAATCACACCAAAGGAACTCTCCCAAGAAGCAGATCTTGTTCTGTGGAGTTAAAAACAGGACAGAGGAGCAGACAATGGGGAGAGCAGACTTGCCCCACAGCAGTGGAGAAATGTGCCCTGAAGTGCTGTGGGGCAGGACAGTGCCATGGACCTCCCCAATGGGAGCTAGAAAACCAGCCAGGACAGTCCCTTCAAATGGCTCCATATTGATCTGCCTCCCCTGGAGTGAGGCCAGGGGCCTGAGGGTGTGCCAGAGCTCCTCATGGCTTCTTTGTGCCCCACRGATTGCTGTGGTGCCTGCAGGAGCTGAGGCCTGGCTGCTGCTGGGGATGCTCATCGATGTGCTGTGAGCAGCTCTGCTCATCTTCTGGCACCTTCAGCATTCCYTGCATGTTCCCAGCTGGCTTCCAGGAGCTCCCTGCACTTGGACACACTCTTGTGAGCTCTGGCATGCACATTAGGGAGCATTTAATCCAAACTCCTTGGATATCCTTAGGAGGCCAGGACACAGTTGTTTCCTGCTGCCTTGTTCTGCTCTTTGTGCAGTTTGCATTGGATCTGTGGTGCACTGCACAGGGTGGGATCTGCTGTAGTTTGCTGTCTGAGGGGAAGAGCTTCACCTGCCATGCTGGTTTTTGTCAAGGCTTGCTTTGCTCTAGGGTGGTGAAAGAGGTGGAGAGCAGAGGCTCTCACAGGCCTCCTGTGGTAGTCCTTTGCTTTTCTTCAAATCAAGTCAGGAGTCAGGATCTGAGTGCACAATTAAACATCTCTTAATGAAGAATAACCCTCTCCGTGAGGATGATGGATATAACTGGAACAAGGTATTCTTCTAACCTGGCTGTGGA